AAGCCAGCACCTGAGAACGTTCACACAGCCACGTCGGACTCGTAGCACGAGAGCTGTGCGCGAGCAATACTTGCTGCTCCCTTGCTTGCGTGTATCTCACCTCCAGTCAACGCAGACGCCAGCGCTGGGGCGTCCACATCCATCGTTTCGGTGCTGCCGTTCTCATCCATAGCGGCTAAAGCAGGGGCCCACAGACCCACGCACGTGCACCCAGCTCTCCCCTTATTCGCCCGGTGTGGTACACACGCACACGTGGGTTGTACCCTGCAGAGTATCTGCACTCTCTCCACTCGCCTCTGCTCTGTCACTGTGCTGTCACGTCTGGTGGGCGCCTGGGGGTGACGCGATTCCTATGCATTTTGGGGCACCCCTCCACATGTGCGTACTTCTCCGCGGTGACAACGCAACAAACACACCAGCAGGTAAGTCCTTGCTTGTGCTGCGCGCGGCACTCAACCAAGCCAGGGGCTGGGGGCAGCAGACTGCCGGTAAGGGGGGAAGGAGGGAGGGAGGTAGACCATGGTGCAATTCAGCCTCAAGCTCGAGGACAACCGGGTGGACAAGTGGTCATCGCAGTACTTGGACTACCGGAAACTGAAGAAGGCGATCAAGCAGATAGCTTCGCACCGAAAGACGGCCGCTCTTGTTGCCCAAAGGTAGGCCTGAGTTATGGCCTGCCGTGCGTGTAGTTAAAACGTTGAACCATTTACGCGCCCCTTGCAAGCTCCACGGTGAGAGGCAGCTCTTGGCCATATCATCTCTCAATCGGAAAGATACCCTTGTCTGAGTGCTGCTCTCAGCGGCATTGAAGACGGCTACTGCTTTCCTTGTAGCATGCCACACGAAGATTGCATTGTTGGAACAACCAACGTTAGATCTCCGCTGGCGTTATTTGGCAGCGTCAAGCGTCGGGGTTTACCTGCTGTGATGATGAACACGGTACGTACACGGCACACGAAAAAGGGGGCAGCAGGCTTGCAATCTTGCAATGGGTGCGTACGCACCCGCGGTCCGCTGTAGGGCGTGCGCATCAACCACAGAACAAAACGCTCCAGCAACCATGCACCCTTGCCAGCATTATTTACAATGATGGTCGAATATTACCGTTCGTGCACATGTGTACCGAGTCGTTTTTTTATCGCACCCCGCAGCCCGGTGCCACCTCTCCGACCGGTGCCATCTCTCCGACCCCGGTGCGGAAATGCAATTAAATCCTTTCGTTCAGAATTTTCAAGGCACCCCGGTGCGATTTC